GCATTCTGTATTAACAAGGTAAATTCTGCCAATTAGACCACTCCATAATCAAAGATAACCTCTAGACAAATAATATTATAAAGATGCACATTTTTACTTTTTAATAGTGAGCTTTCATTTAAGCTGTTACCTTTTAATAGTGAACTTTTATTAGAGCTGTCACTATTGGCAGATTTTACAGTGGATATTATGTGATGTTTTAATATGCATTTAATTTTAATGTGTAATATATTTGCATATATATGTGCATATATTTCATATATACACATACATATGCCCATAACATAACAGAATATGGTTTTAATTGTAAAATATGTAAAATATCTTAAGTCTCCTGTAATTCTACTTAAAGAATGGCTATGTACAATGTAATGTTTATCTTTTATTTTGAAATATATGTAATTGTACACAGATGAGACTAAAATAAAATAAATAAATACAATACAACACAATTATGGTCATATGACGCCGAAACAGAAAAAAATGCTTTTTTGGCTAAACTCGGGTGTTACAAACTATTCTGAACCCCTCAGTCCTTATACACAATCTCTCATCCACAAGTGGTCTGCCAGTTATTTTCCGGTGGTCATGCGCGATGACATTAAGCAGTAACGAATAATTTGTCTGCAGAACACTGTAAGAAACCTCTTAATAATATTGAGAAAGAGTTATAAAATAGCATGTACGCTATTAAATAAATGTTACCTCAGATTACATTACAAGTGTATTACACAAAAGGAAATAGCTGTGTAAGTAAAATTAATGTACTAACCACGATGATATATGCAAATTACCTCTTTGGATAGCAAGCATTTCTAAAAGATCAATATTAAACCATCATATGGGCTGCATTGGCGACATAATAATATGAACATAACTATTTGTATTGTGTGAACAATTGAGGGTCTAAACCTTTATACTTATAATTCAAGAACACTGAAGGTACCGGTTCAGTAAACTCGTCAAAGAACAAGAGCTGTCGGTAGGACAGCAACGCTCGACTATTCTTAGTGCTTGATAGTAAAAAAAATGCTTGATAGAGTTACCTCCTCCTGTTTACAGGTTGGGGTCATGATGGTGAACAAGTGTGCAAAGTTTCAAAGCCATATGTCAATGGTTTTTGAAAATATTTGAACTATTACAAAAACTTTAACGTAAATTCTAAGTCGAAAAAGGGGCATAATTCTGTCAAAATGCTTGATAGAGTTACCTCCTCCTGTTTACAGGTTGGGGTATGATGTTGAACAAGTGTGCAAAGTTTCAAAGCCATATGTCAATGGACTTTGAAAATATTTGAACTATTACAAAAACTTTAACGTAAATTCTAAGTCGAAAAAGGGGCATAATTCTGTCAAAATGCTTGATAGAGTTACCTCCTCCTGTTTACAGGTTGGGGTCATGATGGTGAACAAATGTGCAAAGTTTCAAAGCCATATGTCTATGGACTTTGAAAATATTTGAACTATTACAAAAACTTTAACGTAAATTCTAAGTCGAAAAAGGGGCATAATTCTGTCAAAATGCTTGATAGAGTTACCTCCTCCTGTTTACAGGTTGGGGTCATAATGGTGAACAAGTGTGTAAAGTTTCAAAGCCATATGTCAATGGACTTTGAAAATATTTGAGCTATTACAAAAACTTTAACGTAAATTCTAAGTCGAAAAAGGGGCATAATTCTGTCAAAATGCTTGATAGAGTTACCTCCTCCTGTTTACAGGTTGGGGTATGATGTTGAACAAGTGTGCAAAGTTTCAAAGCCATATGTCAATGGACTTTGAAAATATTTGAACTATTACAAAAACTTTAACGTAAATTCTAAGTCGAAAAAGGGGCATAATTCTGTCAAAATGCTTGATAGAGTTACCTCCTCCTGTTTACAGGTTGGGGTCATGATGTTGAACAAGTGTGCAAAGTTTCAAAGCCATATGTCAATGGACTTTGAAAATATTTGAACTATTACAAAAACTTTAACGTAAATTCTAAGTCGAAAAAGGGGCATAATTCTTTCAAAATGCTTGATAGAGTTACCTCCTCCTGTCTACAGATTGGGGTCATGATGGTGAACAAGTGTGCAAAGTTTCAAAGCCATATGTCTATGGACTTTGAAAATATTTGAACTATTACAAAAACTTTAACATAAGTGGTTACGCCGACGCCGACGCTCGGGTGACTGCAATAGCTCTACTTATTCTTATCGAATAGTCGAGCTAAAAATCAAGATACTGATTAATTTTACTTATATTTAACGGACAATCAAGCTGTTAAATTGTTGTAAAAAACCGTGATCATAACATTTGTCATCATCGGCCTCCATATATGGCATGCGCGTTCCATGATCCGTTCTGTCAGACCAACTTAGGGATTACGGAATCAAGGAAAAAGTCGTTCGTTCAGAAGAAGCGCTTGTTCCTTGATCAAAATGGAATAGAAAGTGATGACACTACAATTTATTGACTGTATGCATCCTTTTGAGACAAAAAGAATAACAAAATTCCATTTATTAGGTATCAAAAAAGTGTGGGCATTCCAAAAAAAAAAACCTTATTGAATGAATTAAAAATAATTCCTTCGGTGTCTTTAGAACCATAATAAATGTGCCTTTTCAATCTTGCATTTAGGACACGTTAAATAACGAGAAATTAAGATGGCATTTAAAAAAGGTGTTGTTTCTCATCATAACCCTTATCTTATTTTACTAAAAATTCTCTAAATTGAAAATGTCCTTTGACAGAACAGTTTTAATTTTAAAAAAAAACTTACAACACCTAGCAAATAGGAAATCCTGTATTTATTTAGCTTATATTTCTTTTTCCATTCTAAAATTAAACAAGAGCCATGTCAACATGGCCATCCCCCGCCGAATATGTTTGCTCATTGGAAGAATGTATATGTAGTAGAGCAGAATAATTCCATTTTAAGAGGTCTTTTGGTAATGAAAACTGATGGCTGAAGTGATTACAGATTTGAAACCTATGTGAATACTGATGGCTGAAAATAACAAAGGACAATAACTGAAAAATAATGCAGGGTAGTTTATCATTCTTGTGTGCTGCACCCCTCCTCAGTAAAATCTATCCACCAATGAAGTTTCAAGTTGATACCTCAAATACTTTTTGAGATAAGCTCCGGACAAAATAGTATGAAAAAGAACAAAGGGCAATAACTCAAAAATTATATTGGGAAGAGTTATCATTCTTGTGCACAGCATTCCTCCTGAATACGATCTATCCACCTATGACATTTCATGTTGACATTTCAAACACTTTTGAGTTATGCTCCACTCAGGTGAAAAATTAAGTATGAAAAATAACAAAGGGCAATAACTCAAAAATTATGAAAGGTAGAGTTATCATTCTTGTGCACTGCACACCCTCTGAGTGAGATCTATGCACCTATGAAGTTTCATGTTGATATCTCAAAAGCTTTTTGAGTTATGCTCTGGACAAAAATTAATTTTGAAAAATAACAAAGGGCAATAACTCAAAAATTTTACAGGGAAGAGTTATCATTCTTGTGCATTGCACTCCTCCTCAATGAGGTCTATCCACCTATGAAGTTTCAAGTTGATATCTCAAATACTTTTTGAGATAAGCTCTGGACAAAATAGTATGAAAAAGAACAAAGGGCAATAACTCAAAAATTATATAGGGAAGAGTTATCATTCTTGCACACAGCATTCCTCCTCAATAAGATCTATCCATCTATGACATTTCATGTTGATATCTCAAACACTTTTGAGTTATGCTCCACTCAGGTGAAAAATTAAGTATGAAAAATAACAAAGGGCAATAACTCAAAAATTATGAAAGGTAGAGTTATCATTCTTGTGCACTGCACACCTCCTGAGTGAGATCTATGCACCTATGAAGTTTCATGTTGATATCTCAAAGGCTTTTTGAGTTATGCTCTGGACAAAAATTAATTTTGAAAAATAACAAAGGGCAATAACTCAAAAATTATGCAGGGTAGAGTTATCATTCTTGTGCACTGCACTCCTCCTCAATGAGGTCTATCCACCTATGAAGTTTCAAGTTGATACCTCAAATACTTTTTGAGATATGCTCCGGACAAAAATGTCGGACGGAAGGTCTGAAGGACGGACGGAGACTATTTCTATATCCCCCGCCGCCTTTTCGGCGGGGGATAAAAAATCTCATGTGATGGGACTTACAAAGCAAGAGAATAGTTTCTATCAAACAGGAATTTGATGATAATGAGACTTTCAACCAATCATGCTAATTTATCAATATAGCAATTCTTAATAAATCATACGTAGGTGAATTACTCAAAAACAAATTTCGTAAACATATTAACAATCTAGTTTGTAGAGTTAAAAATGAAAAATGTTTACATATTGTTTATATGATTCTTTATCCATATACCCGATATTATCAATTTGTAACTTTTGTACTCTTTTGAGTTAAGATAAGATACGTACAAATGGGAAAAAATAAAAATGTGCATACTCTCTATTATGGTCCTCCATCCAATTAACAAGTTCTATAAACTTAGCGTTTTATATTTTATGAAATATTGCAGGATCCAGATTTATTTCGGAAAACATAATCACAGACAAGTTTTTAATAAAAAAATGTAAATAGGGCCCATAATCAATATACCAAGTATTCTTAACCAAGGTATTCTTTATGGATCCAGATTGAGTGACTGACAGAGAGTAACCTTATGGTCACACTTTGTGAAATATGTTGGAGACTCCAAAAGTTGTCAGAGCATGTAACTCCCCACTAAAGAGCTGTTATAGAAAATGTATAATTTGTGTCAAGAAAAATCCAATGGTAAACAAACCATCCCACTTTTACAGTTAAACAATTAAAAAATAAAGATCACAGAAATATACATCAGTATCTATACTAATAGACCAAAATGAAATAAAGAATCAACGATTATTTAAATGAAAAAAACTTTCATGTTGCAGTTTCAAGTCAAGGAATAAATATCAAGGCAAGGAATAAACAAAATAGAATAAACAAAATAAAAAGTGTTGTATTTTTTATTTATGAAAGAACCATGACAATATTTTGGCTGTTTTAAGTAAAGAAATCAACAAAATGACTTTTAAAATAAAAATATTTTCAAATAGTTTGAAGCAAATGGTGTTAAAGGTAGCCAATCTATCCTATACCCTTGGTTAAGGTGATTTCCAGCATATACATATATGTAGTGAGGTAAAGAGTTTTATGTACTGTTTTGCGTAGTGTAAAAACATTTTTTACAATCAAATAAAGCTCGAAAATATACACATTAAAATCATAAACACGATAAGGGAACATTAAACCATAGAAATAAATAGTTTTTCTTTCTGTAGAATGGACAATGAAGTAATAATTGATTCTTACAAATTACTAAATCACTATAACATTGAATGAATGCACTAAAACAAAAAGGAAACGAAAGGTTGATCAGCTGCTATCTGGCAAGTTAGAAACATTTTGGACTTAAAACATGAACTGCAAGGCTTTTAAAAATGAAAATTTTACTATTTTTGAGGCTAAATAAGCCTATAACAAATTTTGATTTGTTAAAAATATTGATTTTTTTATATTGCAAAATTAAATAATTCCTGGTTGCAAGTTTAGGTACACAAATACATAAGCTGGAATGTATATATAAGAAAAATAACACAAAAAATTACAAGTTTGCAAAAGCAACATCTATCTGTGCATATGAATTGAAAATAAAATACTATAACATAAACAAGAAAAAAAAATATAAAATACCAACTACACTATACTACATGTATATAACATAGTAAATGTATAACAGAAAGCTCTTTCAACAGCAAACAAATGAGATTCATGCATTAAACAAAACAGAGAACAAAATCAAATTAAGAATAGGTAGAGAAAAGTAATTTGCAGTCATTTTATAAATACACTAGACAGTCAAATTAGGAAAATAAGGCTTTTATTGCAATAATCTATGAAAATACTCAATGAGAAAAAAATTAAGAGACATAAAAAAAATTATAGTCTAAAATGTAAAAAAAAATCCTGATTTCACAAAGTATAAATTCATCTTTTATATATTATGCACTAAAATTAAAATAAATATACATAGATATCCACAACCATTAACAACAATCAAAAGTTAACAATAGTCAACAGCTAACAATTTCTTGCCATCAAAGTCAAATTTAACAATAAATAAATAGAGTATTCAATAGTTTATAACAATTTAAGACCACAAGATGTGTGATTTTGTAAATTAAACATGTATCATTTGCATTTTGGAACATTTTTCACAACAGTATTAACATACTCCACAGTCAGATAACCACTGACATGTTTCCTGGCATTGCCTAGGTGTTTAGAATTATGTAAACAACTGCTCTCAGTGCTTGAAAGGAAATGAAGAGCGAGCATAATGTAGAATTTTGTAAGTTGAAAAAGGGCCTTAATAATATTTTGAGGGGAAAAAACCCCTTGTTAAAAGTTATGGGTCTTGGACAGAGACCTATTATGCTCTCAAATAATTGTGTGAAGTTTCAATCCATTCCTTTCAATAGTCATAGAGATGACAACTTGCATGCAAAAACTTAATTAAAAAGTGATAGCAACACATACATAGCACCCCCCCCCCCCCCCCCCCCCCCCCCCCAAAAAAAAAATCCTCTAGATTCCATGAAACTTGTATAAAAATACACAGGAAACTGTTCAGATGGTTAAACCTTTGTCACTTTCCAACATAGGCTAAAATGATCACAGATGGACATCAATCTCTGGTGGATTTATTTTTAATCATACTTACTTAAGCTAAATCTTTAAACTTATTTAACCACTCTCAAGTCTGCTCCCTCAAACTAATGGTGACATTTACTAATCAGTAATGGTGTCATTTGAGGAAACATGGTTGTGACCCAGGTAGAGCTTGTACCTGATCTCCGTTGTTTAAGAAGCAGACACCTTAACACGATGCTATTACACACGCTGGTAGATTTTCATAACAAAAACATAGACTTATGTAGAACAGCCAGAAGAAACTTGAAACTTCTGTTACAATCAATTGTAAAATCAAGCGAAATAACCCGTTCTCACAAGAAAATAATCATCATAAGCAGCAATATCAATTTTGTGACTTTGTACACATTTTCAGTGAAAATCATGTCAAATCTTAAGTAAAGAAAAACACAATGAAATAGGTACATAAGTAAATAAATATAGTGTAAAATGACCAAATCAACACAATTTTATCATGAAAAATACAACTTCAATCTCACATAATAGTCACATTCTCATACTAAACTAAGCCATAGTAAAATCACATATAATAAACTTATCATTCAAGTCCATTACTTCCATACACAACTCATTAACACATGTTTTCAACCCAATCTTTAATTTAAGTTATTTTTCTGAACTTACAATTTGATTTAATTAATAACTTGTGCGGAAATTTTCAAACCAATCCATCAATCTGCTTTTCAAAAATAATTATTTTAATGAAAAATGAAGGTTATAAACTCAGATACGCCTAGATTTATATTTTATTTTGTAGCATCTTTATTTATAATCAAGAATAAGTTATTATATCTGATACTTGAATATTGCCTTAAAATAGCAGAAGAAAAAATGCACTTTTTTAAATCACTTTTTACCTCCCTTTTAAGACTCATTGCACATGTATGTGTGAATAGGTAACATTTAATCTTCACCAAGCTGTAACTTAACAATTCTGCTCTTAAGATGACTCCCTGATATATAATATTTCACCAGAGAACACCAGCAATTTAGGGACTTTAATATTGAGTCTAGTATCATGTTTTTACTATTGCAACATAACAGTCCCGCTGTTTTCAATATATCACAGATGATTATCAATCATGGATTTCAAACACATACAGTAAACTCCACTTATAAAGATATTGCTTATAACAATATACCGCTTATAATGTTGCCGTTGCCAAAGTCCCGACCCTCGTTTTCAAATTGGTGGCTTCTTGGACAGAACAATATCCGAAATATATTGATATAAATTTGGCAGTCCCCTATATATCTTTATAAGCAGAGTTTAGTGTCTCTATATTTGTAACTGAGAAATATTCATTAAGTAGTATAAACAATATGTAAACAAAAGCAAGATGGAATTTAATTTATCTTCTTGGTATTGGTTCAATTGCTCTTTCAGAAAAAAATGCCATGTACAAGCACATATAATTGAAGCATACATCTAGCTCAAGTACTTTTCAAAACTTTTTTGTTGTTAAAAAAGGTAAAAATCTAGTTCAGTTTAAAATACACCTGCAGAGGTACTGTAAAGCCTGTTAAAACAGTATAATACAGTTTGTAACAATTAATTTTGAGAAGAAATTGAAATACTGTGCCTAGGAGCAGATGTAGTAAAGCTTTTCAGTGGAAATTCTTCGTCCCCATGTCTTTTTGAACTATTTGTTTCTTCAGATTCTTCACCTAATTCAGCATAATCTAGAGAGTTAGCTTTGTATTTGTAGAACATGGACATTATCATGAAGATGAATGTATCTAAAAACATCAGCACAGCAAATAGGAAGAATTCATACATCTGAAATGAAGAAGAAGAAAAGAAATTGAGATATTTACAAGTCATTTCCAACAATAATTGAATAATGTATTAATTTCAATTTAGGGGCTTGAATCAAAGAACCAAGACATCTATTACGTCAGTCTTAAGTAGCTTCCTTTCCATTGTGCTATTGAATGCATAACTTTAGGCAACCATAACATACAAATCTTAACATATTCAAAGGATACTGCTCAAAAATACAGTGTATACTGTATTCATTGACAGTGGCACTACAAACTGCTGAACTATTCTTGCTATATTCTTTTCCAAAACAACTCGAGAATTAATTTAAGTCTATAACTTACCTGGGAAGGAATGGAATGTATGTTTGCCACAATTATCACCATCAAATCTCCAAATGATACAGTTAGTAACCACACAGCTTGTACAACAGACTTCAGCGACATGGGGGCCTGGTTTGAAAATGAAAATTTACCATGTCAATCAATCAATTATTCAATTTATCAGATGGGAGCATAAATAATTGTGATAGTTTATGTCAAGTCCCACCACTGAACTACAAGTCTAGAATTAAATTTCTAATCTTATTTGATAGAAGACAATCTCTGTGACATGTTAAAGTCATTAACAAAAAAAAAATATATATATATATTTATTTAATTTTACCCATGAAATATGGTGCTATATCAGTCAAATATATTTCATATTTTTTGAAAATAAATATGAAATATAAATATGAAAGTGGGCGGAGTCAAAACTCATATTTATTTTAAGGGACTTCTTTCGCCGTTTTGTTTGAAAAATCTGATCAATACAAAACAACTTTTTCTTGAATATTGTTTTGAAAACTATCTAGCATGATAGAAAATGGTCTAACTAAGAAAATTAATCCGAACACCAATATCTTTAATTCAGTAATTAACGCTGTACAGACGTTTAAAAGAGTTGTTTACATGACGTCACAATGTAGCGCCAAACAGCGCGTGCTTACGCATAAATTACTGCGCGCTGTACAATTGCAGTTGGTAGCAAGCAAGGGGATTCGTTACTTTTTTCTTTGATAATGAAATTAAATAAAAAGGTTATTTTTTCGTTTTTTGTGAAATATGGTATATATTTTCACTCAACATGATAAAATGTCACATATTTTCACTCGCCGTACCGGCTCGTGAAAATATGTGGCATTTTATCATGTTTCGTGAAAATATAATCCATATTTCACGCAAACGAAAAAATATCCTCTTAATATTTTGTGTTTTTGTTATTTTATCATACATTATTTCTAAGGACATTCTGCTTTGATATTGCATTATAATCTCAATCTCCAAGTATATTTGAAACACAAATACTCACATAGTAGCATATTTTTACCTGAGAATAAGCAAATGAAAGCCCACTAATTGAGAAAAGAACTTCCCCAAGTGTGACGAGAACGTACTGAGGTATCATCCATGCCATTGAGACAGTGTTTTCTGTGACATCCACATATAAATGAACACCAGACTGAAATAAACAACACCAGGTCAACTGTCAAGCTTCATTTCTATACAATATGAGGGGAACAGCTTTTTGAATTGAGGTCAACTGTCGAGCTTTATTTCTAAACAATATATATTAGGGGAACAGCTGTTGGAATTATAAACTGTTATAGAGATCACTTTCAGGGCAGGATTTTTGCAAATAAGAGGACTGTAAATTCATACTTAATTGGCAGTGAAACCCAATACTTTAAAGGCATTATATTTTTTTGGTATATGTTAATTCTGTCTTCAAGATAGGATAATTAAGAGTGATGAATGCATAATGTTTGTATCATTTATGTAAAGCATAAAGTTTTAGACAGGGCTAGTTATATTAAAATACAACCAACCACAGGAGAAAGAAAGGCAGGGTATGTAAATCTGCTACCATGATTAAATGCTTTGACCTAAAATGACGAAAATCAGTCATGCAATTTTCAAGGTCCCTGTGTTCTTAACATGATTTGATTTTTCAAGTCACAGGTACATTTAAATCTGCACAGCTGTGAGATATTTTCAATTATCATCTATATCTGTCTTAATTTCAATAATTTTTCTATTTATGTCAAACACATAGCTGAAACACTACTTACTATATAAGTATATAATTACCTTAGAACCATTGCCATATACTAATGCTGTATACACTCCTCCCATTTTAAGAGTAAACTTTGCGGTAGTGTCTATCAAAATAGATAGATCTTCACTCAGTTCATAGATCTTGTATCTAAAATAAAAAGTTCAATGCTGTTCTAATGTTACTGATATAATTTACAAATTAATTTGCAATATAACATAACTGAAATGGTTGCCGTTTGTTGGTATTTGAAAAGCACTGTCACTTTTCAAGTCAATAAGGATTTTTCCAGGTTTATTAATTACAGTGGTGGATAAAGACCTTGTGTCCCTCTAAACATTATCTTCTGCACATGTTGACACCTGAGTAGAACCACTGGCCTTCCATAAACTAGCTGGACAACTTCCTCACAAGACAGGAACAAAAGTCTGTAGCAGGAATGCGATTGGCTATGCCTCTCAACAATAAGATATACGAGCATGTGATGAAATTTTATCTTTTGATGACATTCTATTCAAAAAAAACGCTCACACTAAAATGTGTAGGACAGTTGTTTTAAGACCCTCTGAAACACTACAATATAATAACATTTTCCATATATTCTTTAGCACATTCAACCTGAAAGCTATAATGTAAATACTAGAACTATCACTAAATGTGATTAATACCCCCACAAGTCTGCTTCGGAAATGAGGATGTTACTAGTAACAGAATACCTTGTAATAGAATTGAAAAATAGAGTTATGGTTGTGGGCAATTAAAGATAATTGTGGTTCATGTATGTTGCATTTCCTTTCAATGTGGTTGACCATTGATGAAGTTTAATTGAATTACTCTGTAATAAGTCCAGAAAGACAAAGAAAAAGAACAAAGGGCAATAACTCTATAAATACTGAAGATAGAGTTATAGTTCTTGTGCACTGCACTTCCTCTTATTGTGCTTGACCATTGTATGAAGTTGTTTTGAATTCCAACCAGTACGTTTTAAGTTATGCTCCGGACAAGGAAAAGTATCAAAGGGCAGTAACTCTGTATTTTGTCAAAATGGAGTTATGGCTCTTGTGCACTGCACTTCCTTTTAATGTCCTTGACAACTGTATGAAGTTGTACTGAATTCCAAACAGTAGTTTTCAAGTTATGCTCTGGACAAGGAAAAGTAACAAAGGGTAATAACTCTGAAATAAGTCAAGATGGAGTTATGGTTCTTGTGCACTGCACTTCCCCTTATTGTGCTTGACCATTGTATGAAGATGTTTTGAATTCCAACCAGTAGTTTTCAAGTCATGCTCTGGACAAGGAAAAGTAACAAAGGGCAGTAACTCTGTAATTAGTCAAGATGGAGTTATGGTTCTTATGCACTGCACTTCCTCTCAATGTGCTTGACCATTGTATGAAGTTATAATGAATTCCAACAATAAGTCTTCAAGTTATGGTCCGGACAAAAGAAAGCAATGGAAAAGTAACAAAGGGCAATAACTCTGTAATTAGTCAAGATGGAGTTATGGTTCTTGTGCACTGCACTTCCCCTTATTGTGCTTGGCCATTGTATGAAGTTGTTTTTAATTCCAACCAGTAGTTTTAAAGTCATGCTCTGTGATAAGGTAAAGAAACAAAGGGCAGTAACTCTGTAATAAGTCAAAATGGAGTTATGGTTCTTGTGCACTGCACTTCCTCTCAATGTGCTGGACCATTGTATGAAGTTATAATGAATTGCAACAATTAGTCTTCAAGCTATGGTCCGGACAAAAGAAAGCAATGGAAAAGTAATAAAGGGCAATAACTCTGTAATTACTTTAGATAGAGTTATGTTTCTTATGCACTGCACTTCCTCTCAATGTGCTTGACCATTGTATGTAGTTATATTGAATTCCAACCATTAGTCTTCAAGTTATGGTCCGGACAAAAAAAAGAAGGCAATGGAAAAGCAACAAAGGGCAATAACTCTGTAATTACTTTAGATAGAGTTATAGTTCTTGTGCACTGCACTTCCCCTTATTGTGTTTGACAATTGTATGAAGTTGTTTTGAATTCCAACCAGTAGTTTTCAAGTTATGCCACGGACAAGGAAAAGTAACAAAGGGCAATAACTCTGTAATTAGTCAAGATAGGGTTATGTTTCTTACGCACTGCACTTCCTCTCAATGTGCTTGACCATTGTATGTAGTTATATTGAATTCCAACCATTAGTCTTCAAGTTATGCTCCGGACAAGGAAAATGCAACGGACAAAAAAAAAAAAGCAATGGAAAAGCAACAAAGGGCAATACTCTGTAATTACTTTAGATAGAGTTATGGTTCTTTTGCACTGCACTTCCCCTTATTGTGTTTGACAATTGTATGAAGTTGTTTTGAATTCCAACCAGTAGTTTTCAAGTTATGCCCCGGACAAGGAAAAGTAACAAAGGGCAATAACTCTGTAATTAGTCAAGATAGAGTTATGGTTCTTGTGCACTGCACTTCCTCTCAATGTGCTTGACCATTGTATGTAGTTATATTGAATTCCAACCATTAGTCTTCAAGTTATGCTCCGGACAAGAAAAATGCAACGGACGTCTGGACCGACCGACCGCCCGACCGACCAACCAACCGACCGACCGACCGACCACCGGGTGACTCCTATATACCCCCCCAAACTTCGTTTTTGGGGGTATAATAAGTAAAACTTTTCACTCTACAACAATTCTTAAATTAAATTAAAATCTTACATCAAACATGCACTTATAACGTAACAAATTTAGCTTATACCACATTTTTTTTTTCAAGATTTAACATTTTCAACTTTGCCGTGTTGGACTTTCTTCAGGGATTCTGTCTTTGTGTATTTTATAATTTACTACTCAATATCAATAATAATTGTTTTACAATAAGAACTTGCAATATAAATAAACTTTTGTTTAACTTACGAGAGGGGTTCCATCTCTATAAAGTTAGTTACTGTGAAAGGTTTCACATTGATATGCGTACCAATGTCTGTTGAGGCGGAAGTGTCCGTACCCATTGATACAATAGTAAGGCTATCTGCTAGTTTGTCTGTACAAAATATACTGAAAACATAGAAAACAAGTTTATTTCAGAGGCATTTTTCTCTTTTCAATTTTTACTTTCAGTTGCAATAGTGAATACACACACATGGTCACTGAATGAATATTTTTCAATATGTTTTAAAAGTATGTAAATTATTTCTTTCAAAAAAACAAGCAAGAAACTTTTTTCTCTTAGCTCCATGAATGGATTTGTGTGTTAACAAACTTATAGCTTCCTACAATACACATCAAAATAGTATAGTTTCACAGAAAATACACCATTCTTTTAGTCTAGTCAAATTAGCCCGAAAATCAAGCTAACCTAGAACTAATTGCAAAAGTTTTTGTTTTGGTATTTTATGATGGTACCATATCTGCTTGATATTAGGAAAAAAGTTGCACTCTTTTGCTGAAGGGGAAATGTGATAATTCCAGCTTTCAAGTTGACACCCTTAAATTTCAGTTATAAAATCGGCGTAATTTGTTAATTTCCGATGATACTAAAAAAAACACTTCTATATATAAGTTAAACATATTTATTACATGCAAACTTCATACAAACAAATTTTTGTCCATGTTGATACAAAAATTTATGCATTTAAAATTAAAAAAAATAATTGGTCGGCAATTCTATGACAAACTGGTGTCAAATTACCCCACCCACTTTATGTTAAACTTTTTAACCAGTCAAATTCCGATATATAAGCAGCAAATCATCCATTCCATGTATATTTACAGTAAAAACAATACATAATAACATATTTATGCATGAAGAAGTACTTTGTAAATTATGTCAACTGTATTCATATGAATTAAAATGGACATACATGTGTATTGTAAATTTTGTTTTAGATAAATGTTGAATAATTCAGGTACACTTGTGTTTAGCTAACATTCGGAACATCCAACGCATTTTGAATAATTTGTTTGTTTCAAGCAAAAAAAATAAAGAACAACAAGTAAGTATAATTAAGAGCGAGTAACAATTACCAAAACTACAGATGAAAAATACTATGCCCGGTCTATGGAGAAATTGTAGTATATACATTTAAGTGTCACTTGTTGAAATTTTACATTACACACGGAATAAAACTATATTACAAATGTACAAATGTACCGAAGAGCTACCTAATTTGGCAAGCAACAATGTAGTGATAATAAATATAAAGAACACGAATATACAGGCTGTTTCATTCACAAGAACTAAGTTTTTGTCACATTGATATGTACACTTAAATCACTTAAAGTTAGGGATGGCAACGAATACAAAAATCAATACTCGAGTACTCGGTTATTTTTCCGATCGAGTACTCGGTTACTCGGATGATTTCTAGTGATCTTCAAAGTTTATCTCATAGTATCAACACCGTCCACATGCTACTTTCGTTTTCTATTTAAATTCATAGAATTCGTAACTATAAATAGAACTTCACGGGAGACAAATTAATTAAAATTAATTCAACAACATTAATTTATATTTTACAACGTTTTAATTAATGCAATATCAAGTTTTAAACATGTATCACAGTTCATATAATTATATTTTTTCGTGTTGAAATAATATAGACTGATAGGCGCCAACAAAAGTTTAAAAGGGGTCTAAATACTTGTTACCTTTATTCTCACATTCATAATAGCAATCGGCCCTTTGTTGTTTTCAAAACAGTTACTTCCGCTACAAACTGTTACACAATTAAAGGTAATTGAATATCATAAGAGCTGGATGACATAAGCGACACAGGTGCGCGTGTCAAACTGTTGATCGCCTCGTTAAATTTATGATATCATTTTCGCACCTCTGCAAGGATGTTTTGATTGCAATAAACAGGTATTATGAAGATATCTGCACATCTCCGAATTTCTGAACTAATTAATTGGACACACCAATCTTTCTAAATCGTTAAAGATATAAATAATATATTTTTTCCGAGTAATCGAATATCAATTTTAATAACCGATATTCGGACGTTCGATCGAGTACTCGGTTAACCGGTTACTCGTTGCCATCCCTACTTAAAGTATATGGTAGGGTTATTGTCATGCTTGTACTAACACATAACAGTCTACAACATATAAAACCACTTCTATAAATTTGAAATTATCGTTCTGTATGTTAGACAGTATAGTAATACTTTTTTATTTACAATAGGTGAACTTTGACATTGACAATTAGAAAAAAAACAGTCTGTCGCAACACAAGCAAATATAAGAAAGCATTGATAAGTATGTATTCAATATACAATCTAACTCTAAATGCACAATACTATTGTACATTTGGAGTTAGATTGTTTCAACCATTTTACTACATTTATGTTATAGCGCATAGTTTGGTGCTAGTACAAGTTTATTGTTCTATGATAGACACCAATGTAAAAATATTGTGCATAAATTTTAGTATAATTTGACACTGGATAAAAGAGTATAACTACAATACTAAAAAATACTTCATATGGCAAGCAAACAGAGTATTATTATAATTCTTTTGTTTTTATTACAAGCTACATTGTATTTACTTCACGAGGAATATGAGACTGTTCAATATATAGAACATATTTGTCTGCAAAGTTTTATATGATTAACTTAAAGTGAAACCTCTATTGCTTATGTAAAAACAAGATGCCAGATGCATGTATATTGCCAATAATAACACAAAATATGAATACATTTCAATACAAAACAGGTAAAAATTGACAACTAAATTCTAAGAGCATTGTGTCGATACAAGATCTAGTCCTCCATGTCTGCAAAATCAATATCTGAAATGGACCGACAGTTTGAACAGCTAATACAATGACATTCTCCACAACCAACCGAACATTCGAGGTCATGTTTGTGACAGGTACATGTCTAAGAGTGGCTTTTTTGCAATTGCATCTGATATTTAAAAGAAAATCTGGAGCAGCGGGTTGTGTAGATTTTGCAGGTACAAGAGTCCTTAGAGAAGTTCCTATCCCCATTCAGTTGGATCTAATTCATCATTTCCAATCCATGTTTGTGTTTGAAAATATGACGGTATAGAGTGTTGCGCTGCACTATCAGACGTAGGCGGAATGCTTTGAACTTGAATAACAGATGAACTTGACATGGGTTTACTTACAAATTTGTGAAATCTCAGTCTGTTCAAATTTATCTCCCTAGCTCCATCATATAATATCCTCATGGATTTTTCACCACCTGCAATAATTTCTTCTTTGTTGAAGAATGAAATATTGCAGCATTTTGCCGGAACACTTCATTTTTACACATTATTTTTAAGAACTGTCACAATCTAGAGAAAGCGTGCAGGAATGGTAGGAGATAACAAATCTCTATTCCAATCACATTTTGGTGTCTTTTGAATATATATGCCAAACTATTTGGGTTTTCATTGTCTGATCTGTAATATACATTCTTCGAATCTGACGAAAATCCAAAACTGACAACAGTCTGTTTAAAACAACATTTCCCCACAGATTGTTTCTCTCAGAACATTTAAGTTGTATTGTTTCCTGCATTCTCGGAAACCCATGTTTTTTACCGTATACATGTATCGGTAATAATATTAAATGTAGTAGATACGAAATGTGTACCGTGGGTTCCCGACGATGTGTTTCCTGAAAATCAAAACTTCTACCAGGATGAACATCTACGTTTCCCAGATGCAACTTTAGCAGGCTTACCACAGAACGAGCAATTACACTTAAAAGCAAAGTTAGCATTTGATCTTAAAGGTCTTTTAACTTGGTTACACTTAACATTGGAACTATTTGAAATGTTTCTATTGTGAATAAAATCCCTTCTACAGTCTTGGTGCACAATTTGACCTGTAATTGTTCGTATACTTGTATACTTGAATTCCTCAGATCGCTAGCATGGTTAACACTGTGGCTTCCCTTCTTTCTGAGAGTGACAATTGGGACCCATTCTGGATCTCCTGCGCACAAAATACGCACGTTGTAGAATCTGAAAGCATATTTTAAATCTACAGATCTGTATATAAAATTATTTTGTATATGCATTATTTCACAGTAACAATAGTATTATGTAGTGTAAAATATGAATATACATGTATATAACTTATGAAATATGTTATTTTATATATGTTTGTGTATTGATTTTCTTACTATTCAGACCAATATCGACACATGGGAACATGATGAATGTATAAACCATCTGACATTGGTAAAAACAAAATATACCTGTTGCCATGTTGATATTTACTTGTAGATCCCGAAATCAGAAATGCACAACGGGTTTCTGAAAAAAAATCAGTAAAGAAATATTCAGTATAAAATGTGCATTTATTTCAGCCTACCTTAAATAGCCTATGTTATTTCCCTGCATTTAACATACATAAAACCTTTGTCCGAAAACTTAGGCAAGCATGTGTACATTTACAGAGAAATTGTCATGAGTTTTTATTAATTTAATATACAGTAGTCAGTATAAACATACCGAAATGCAACGCCCTTCATATCGTTGTTTGTTCCATCAGCATGGTTTGGTATTGTGGCTTGTATCATCTATAGAAATAAAAGACATATTTTGTGAGAAATTATGTATGAATTTAGCATATATTTATCTTAGCATATTAACTTTGTATTTAAAGGAAACAAGTATATTTTGCATGAACCGATACTCAAATGACAAAATCGTTCATTTCATTTTTCCACTTTGATGAATAAAGCGTGACGTCATTTGGCCAATGTTCGGCATTACTTTCCATAGGTGTTAAATGTAGGCAATAACAAAAAATATCCGTACTATGTTATACTTTGCATTTTTGAAATATTAAATCAGTAAGTTATACAATCACAACAGACCGAGGAAGGTGAACATATATGGAATGTATTGTATGTTCCGGGCAATCATGTAGTATGAAAGCTTCGGGAGCGATTTTGCAAATTTCCTATGAAGAGCTACTGGTGTGGTCCATTTCACATGATAGCATATTTAAAAAAAGGACAAGTTAAAACAAACATTGTTCATATATTATAGATAGAAATTGTGCATAATAATACTTAAAGTATGACTCACCTTGATACAAGAGACAGCTGAACATAAAATAATCATCAAATGACCATTAGTGTGTAAATCATGGATGTCGTATCTGAAATTAAGTATTGATTTTATTTATGTACATTTACATGTTTAATAATGCAAAATTATATATCTAAATATAAATTTTACATGTAAATCTGAACATTGTTTTATATACTGGTTTGGGACCACAAAAACCAGACAACCACCAAACCCTGACGGCCCCGAAAATGCTTTATTTTAGTATTTTCTTTGTTCAGTGGTTGTCAGTCACTTTTTCATCAACAATAAATGCATGTTTCTTCTAAAATTAAGTAAATAAATTTATTTCAACCTACGTAAATGGTTAATATTTTATTGTCTATTTTCTAAATGTTGACGTTGAAATTTGGGGTCAAAGAAAGCATTGCCTGACCTCATATACCAGCTATAATCATTTGCAGAAAGTAAACAATAGAATATTCAAAACTTCAGCATTTGTTGCTTTAAATAATTTATCATGATAAAATCTAAAAATCAAAACACTCAAGCTTTTATTTTATTTAAATCACTGATGTACATATCTGTCCAGACACCATAATACTGTAGTGTAGACAATTTAGGTGATTTTGATACCCTCCTTGTGGAGCCTCAAATAAAGTGTCAATACAATCAGAAATAAAAAACTAGTTGGTTGTTAGGAGAAAGAACCTAGCTGAACTGTGTCAAATTTTAAGGTCTCTATGTTAGAAATTATGAAATTTGTACGGAAAATTGTTCAAAAGTGTTTGTTTGATGTCCCCGACCAGTACAGTAAAATACCATGTTATATAAAATAATGCATATTCACGACGTATATTATGTCCGTTTTGTCTTCCGTAGATTAAAAAATCGTGAAATTTGTTTCATTTCAAAGTAACAATAGTATGTCGAGAATACAAAGTTTTCATGTTAAATATGTCTTTTATAACATCGTTTTCTTATAAATATATATATATATCGTTCATTTTATGAATATAATAAAATCAAATACTAAACATTTACTGGTGATATTGGTTTGCTGTTTATTTCAAAAATATTTAACATAAAAATCGTAGTTATATTTAACTTATGGCACTTATTGTGGACAGTAAAAAGGCATAAATGATAAAAGTAAATGTAAAAATACACGAAACAAACTTACCTTTGCCATCCAAACGCTATTGTTGATGAAAAATGATATTTATTTTTCGAAGGAAGTTTCACGAAATCATATGACAAGTTTTCAATGACGTGCTTGCCTACGTAAAATTGTTACTCATAGGAAAAAACTGCGTGTATGGTGTGTACAGTTTTGGGTCTCTAAAATATAAAGTTAAAATTCGTGAACTTTGAAACGCTTGTAAAAAAAGTTGTGCACAGAGTTATACGTGCAACTTTTTTTTCTGACATATACATATACCAGACCTATTCAATGAACAAAGATTCAAAACTTTTTGCAATTAGTTCTGGGTCATATTTATTTTACTAAGACATTTTGTACTGAAATGTTGCAATACAGAAGGGCAAAATCAATTGTCTGTATTGCATAGGTGTTCCCCACAGCCTGTACGGACAACTGAAAATTTTCAATAATTAACTCTATAAATATCAATACGGAACAAGTTAAGAAATGCTTCAAATAAACAAAAGAGCACCGCCAGGCGGAGCATTATATGCCCGAAAGTGTTTTTTTTTTTTAGTAAGGATGAAGCATTGTAAACACACGGAAATGAAATAAGTATTACCTCCCCTTTAAATGCAATTCCACCTATTGAAGTTTGAATATTGTGGGCCAAATGGGAACTCAAAGTTATGGCCTCCAGTAACTGTTTTCAGTTTTAAGTAAAGTGACCTTGAACTTTGACCTTTTGACCCCAAAATCAATAGGGGTGTTCTACCCAATATGGCCCAATCATCCTATGAAGTGTAAAACAATGTGGCCAAATGGAACTTAAGTTATGTTCTGGAAACTGCTTTTCAGTTTTATAGTAATAGTGGACATTGACCTTGTGACCCCAAGATCAAATAGGGGTGTTTTCACCCAATATGGACAATCATCCTATGAAGTTTTGAACAATGTTGGCCAAATGGCACTTAAGTTATGCTCCGGAACTGTTTTCAGTTTTAAGGTAATAGTGACCTTGACCCTTTGACCTTCTGACCCCAAAATCAATAGGGGTCCTTCTGCCCAATATGGACAATAATCCTATAAAGTTTAAAAGACTGTGGCCAAAGGGAACTTAAGTTATGCTCCGGAAACCAACATTGCTAACGGACTGAGGGACAGACGCCAAGGGGTATAACATAATATGCCCAAAATTCTTCGGGGCATATAAAAACAGATAATCAGATTTTTGCCGGCCCTGACAAAATGCATCTAATCTAAAAACATTGTTAAAATCATAATAAGACATTTATTTTCTTACCTTAATGCTGCATTACCATGTTTTGGTTTTTTCTCTTTCATCTGGAAACTGAAAAAAAAATTAAATTAGATGAAACATTCAAGTATGATAAATTGTATTCTTCAAAGTGATTTAAAGAGACTGATTCAGAACAACTCAAGACCACTGGAAGATATTGCAACAATACATTTTACCCACATAGGAGTTCCTAAACTTCTTATCAATATATTCTCGGAATTTAAGATACATCTTTCACTTGTATCTAAACCTATTCCTACAATCGCAGGGTTATCATTATATAACCGCTTCCGGCGAATCCAGATCATCTGGTTTTTTAAAATGCTGAGAAAATTGGGTTGTATTAAATTCCC